CCACACATAGCATACGAAGTTAAAGCAGTTGCATTACATGAATCACTCTTAACCGTTATATTTTCCCAGGTTTTGGCAGAAACATCAAATGCCCATAACTCATTTGATATACCGCGTCCTTCAATCACACCGCCGTACATGAAAATTTTATCTCCATACATAACTGTCGAGGCTCCGTACCGTTTTTCAGGTACACTACCTCCGCCATCGATATGCAAGGTTTCCCACACATTGCCGTTGAAATCATAAGTCGTCATTAGCTCTCCGCGACCGTACGACTCTCCACCTATTATATGAAGGGTATCACGCCACACAGCTGCACCATGTGAAGCCGTGCCTGGTGGAGGGGGTGACTGTGTTGGATAAATAGTGGACCAAACACCAAGCGCCTTGAGTTGCCCGCAATCGTTACCGCCAAAGCCTTCATTACACATGCATCTAAAATATGTGGAAAAAACGAGTTAAAGATACATATAATAATAATCCTCTTTTTTGAATAAATTTTATTTTAAAATTCTAACCCACATAAACTTAATATTTCATATTATACATACTTAATATATCTTATTTTGACGCTCTGAATACATAAATATTAATTTTTGTGGGTTACAATCGTTTAACCTTTTACCTTTCTTCGTCCTCTTTACATGTGCCCTGGCCTTTATCCTCCGAGCAATTATTGGGACATGCAGCTACATCACAAGCCTCACCTTTATACAAGGTATCACAAATGCAGTCACCATCACTGCATCTTCCATGAGCAGAGCACTCAAGATCTGATAGTAAGTTATAAGAATGTGAAAGAATCGAAAAGAGATTGATTGATTACGCACCCTCTATGCTTGTAGGACAACCATCCATTTTGTATGCTAGATTGAAACCAGACATATTGTAGGCATCATCGCTAAAGAAATGAAGAAGCGCTGTCCCTGACCTTGCAATCACCTGTGGTACTCTTCGTATAGCGAAATCAGCTCTATACATAAGTCCGCTTTAAAACAAATTGATAAGCAATTTTGGTTAGTTGTTACTCTTAAACATATATATGTATTTATTAGGGTGGGTCAATTTTTTTTTTGACTATGCGCGTAGTTCTAAGCAAATTTGCCGAAGAAACCATGGGTCTAAAATCAATATGGATTTGCCAAATTGCGAAAGTACGGTTCCGAGAAAATGTGAAAATTTTCACTCTTGCCTCCTGTGGTGGACGTTTTAAGAAAAGGATAAGTGCAGGAATGGATTGCTCATACCATACCAGTTTGCTAAGCAAACTATTTTCGCAATTTGGCAAATTCCAAATTGATTTTAGACCCATGGTTTCTTCGGCAAATTTGCTTAGAATTACACCTAGAATCTTCCTGTGCTATATGTAGGTTCATAGTCAAAATATCTAACATATAAATTGTCCCGCCCTAGTATTTATGTATCTATGTATGACTAAAATCTTACCTAAATACTGCTAGTAGTGGGGAGTCCACACTGTCGCCATCGTAAATATACAAGTGATCCCAACCACATTCAGTAGCAAATTCACGCAGGTGAATACGAATTGAAGGTGTTCGCAAAGAATTTGAATGGGGATGTCGCGCGTCGATAAGCCAACTACATTTAACACTAACCGAGTAATTTCCCTGTCCATCATGAATTGTTCCAGACGGATGGTATAATCTTGAAAAAAAAAATGGAAGGAAATCATTGAAAAATAAAACAGTTGCAAAAAAGTACTGAATTGCCATCTTTAAATAATAGAACCCTCAAGAGTTACATCAAACGCAATTCCCTATTAACATATTAAAATGTCTAGGAATGCTTTAAAGGAATTGTAAATTAACAAGCGCAACAGCAACAGCAACAGCAGCAGCGATAGCGGCAGCAGCAACAAAAGTAATAAAATACAAGTAAGAAAGTCTAAGTTCGGGCGGAGCCGAACATTAAATACCCGGCGCAAATATTAAATATATGTTTCTTCACCTTTCCGACACCAACCGCTAGATGGTAAGCCGGGGTGTATCAATTTTGAGTAAATTATCGTCCTTAAATTTCGAAATATTGCAGTTTCAAGCATTTCTGAAATTTACCGTTATATGAAAAGCGGCCGTAACTTTAGTCCGATTTCAATAATTTTCAACGTTTTGCTTTATGTGGCAAGCTCAATAAAAATACCGAGTTTGGTACAAATTGGTAGAACGGTTACCGATATACATATATGAGATCATAAGTGGGCGGAGCCACGCCCATTTTCAAAATTTTACCATAAACGTATTTCTTGGTAAAGAGTTGTTGCAAGCACCAATTTTGAATAAATTAGCTTTAATATTTACTGATTTATCGAAGATTTTGTATTTCTCTAAATTACCGTTATATGGGATGTGGGCGTGGTTATTGTCCGATTTTTTAAACTTTCGGCCATTTACCAAGGCCAACAACTGTGCCCAGTTTGGAAGAAATTGGTGCAGCGGTTACCAAGATATACACATGTAACCATAAGTGGGCGTGGCTACGCCCATTTTCGAAAAATTTATAATATTCTTATTTTTCGTCTGAAAATTAACCTTCGCAGAGTGGGAAACACCCTCATACACACAGTACTTTGCTAAGGAAGTCGATCTTGTCAAAAGGGAGCGCGAAAACTGTTTTACGAACTCGTTAAGAAATTTCTGAACGAAAAATAAAAAAAAAACTGAAAAAATTCTGCAAGAAACTCTTCACATAGCAACATTATTTCTATGCTTTACCGATTTTCTTCAGAAATTTCGTAAAAGAATCGAAGTGTGCACAGATTATTTCATTATAGAAAATTCGACCAAAAAATCGGATGAGATCTTTACGAATTCTTTAAAATTTCTCTACAATTCAGAATACTCTGAAAATATGGCTTGCAGGGATGTTAGAATGGATTTCAAGTTTTTTTTTTAATTGTTACCGGTGGAGTGTTTATCTGATAAATGAAATTACATATCTACTTAAGACAAAAAATATATGTACATTTAAATTAAAAATAATTGTATGGGCACGTTACAAGCTAACCTAATATTCGCGGCTTGCGTTTTGGTACGCACGCAGTCGAATTTGTTATTTTTTGCGTCACCCGAAAATTGGCTTGCGTGCGTTTGCATTTGATTTCATTAAGCGAAACGTCCAATCAAAATGTCACGCAGAACAAAAATTGGAAATTGAGTTAGCTTCATACGCACGCCGTTCAATTTCGGTTGGTCCCATACAAGTTGTATGTGCATGACAAATTTTTGACAGTAAATTGGCGGCGTGCGTGAATATTAGGATAGCCTGTTACAACTTGTTGTCACCTTACTATAAAAAATGTGTTCAACAAATCTGCTTGCTTGGGTAGGCGACCCTTTCACAGATAGCAGGTGGGAAAGGTATATACGTTAAAACGTTAGTTACTTTCATTGAAGCCGAAGCGATGGTTTTTAGATACAAATGTTTTACAGAATATTATTTAAAATCAGTATTGTATATCGCCAGATGCTATCCGTTGGCGGTGACGTCCACCAGACGGTTTAAAGTTCACGTAATCAATAGCTCTGATCCAGTACTCCACGAACTTACAGGATTTTACACGGACTTGCCGGAAGTTGAAGGAAAATGTTCCCGTACTCCAAAATCCTCCAAAATCCTGTAAATGAGAGCGACTTTTGGAGAGTTGTGTAGAGAATGAAGTTGCAAGATTTTACCCGAACTTTTTCTTCTGGTAAAATCATGAAAAGTGTCAAGCAATCACTGGTTGGCGTTTTTACAGGAAAAAATGGTTTTTTTGTTCCCGTACTTTTTGTTGTTACTCACTTTTTACTCTCACTTCAGAGAGTAATTTTGCTGTTTGACAGTTTTACAGGATTTTTCACGAAAAGTATTGGATCAGAGCTAATATTTATTGTCATCCTATTACTTTGAATCAAACGCGTAGATACATACATGGCGTATGAGTAACAAATAAACGAATCACTAAATTTTAGAGTCTATTTTTTAGTAAATTAAGGTATCCACACACCTAAGCGATTCTGTCGGTGCGAATCTGTCCTGACAAAAATAACAACAATGCCGACCATAATTTTAAATGAGGAATCGCACACCTATACGATTTTGCTGCAGCGATTTATTCAAACATTCACAGTTCTCCTTTTCGTCATGCCGAAATCGCAGACTCGGATTATTCCTGATAATATAAAAGTCTCAAACGTTCCATATTTAAATTGGGCGCCACTTGTATCAACTCACGTCGAGCGCAAGTTTTGTATATTCAAGGCTCTGTTAAAGCCTATTCTGTTACAAAAAATCATGTTGATAATGAAGAAAATCTATGGATAAACAAAGAAGTAATAACTAAGTGGTCATATGAAAATGCGCAAAGATTTTTTGTATGGAAAATCAGCAGGAAAGAATGTTACTCATACGCCATGCACACCAGAAAATATCTCGAAAACTTATCCATAGAATAAAAAATTAACTCGATCTTCGGAATCAGCGAGCAATGCTATACAAGAATTGAATATGTAGTGGCGTGTGTTGAACATTTTTCCTGTAAAACGGTGTTGTTTTTCAGGTTTTGTCTTTTTTTAGTGCTTTCTTTTGCCTTTTTTGCTATTTCTAGTGCCTTTTCCTGCCTATTTCGCTATTTTATTTTGCCTTTTCCAGACTATTTCGTTATTTTTATAGGTTTTTATGTCCTAAAAATCCGTTCCCTGCATATAACACTATTTATTACCTAAATTTCATTAATACGAAAATAAGATAGGTTTGGCGGCTCTGGGATCCTATACCATTATGTTATGAATTGTGGATTGTTTATTAGACAATTGTTAATTTTAGAAATAAATGCATTAAAATAATGTTGTGGTTAATTCATTTCCAGAATAATTAATTACCTACGTATTAATATCAAATAATTAAGGATTTCAAACTATACAGTCTGTTGATAACCCAGGTAGAAAAAGTACTGGCGTTGTATTTTCCCAGCCAGTTGTAGGTTTCAAATTTAAATTGTAAAACGCGAACTATTTCGAACAATGAAACCAAGTAAAATACATAGTACACTATACGAATATGTATACCAGGTTATGAGGAAATGTGAGGTGATTGAGTTACTGTCATAGTTGCGATTTTTT